GTGTGTGTGTGTGGAGTTATGCCCTTGTCACCCCCACACTATCCCCTCCGCCTCTATTTGCGTCACAAAAGACAAAAATTTTTCAAAGGTTCCCAAGTTCATTTTTCTGGTTATAAATGAAGATTATTATTATTCACACACACACACACACACACACACACACACACACACACACACACACACACACACAAACACCATTAATCTTTCTTGGCTAAATCGTTAAGTATCTTATAATGCCACTAATAACTTATGGTGATGGTGACGTCAAAGGTTGATCCAGTTATCTGACACACATCTGCGTGTGTGTGTGTGTGTCTGTGTCAATAATGTGTGTGTGTGTCTGTCTGTCTCTATCCCCATCCTAAGGCAATGATGGAGAGAGAGAGAGAGAAGAAGAGAGAGAGAGAGAGAGACCCGCCGTAAACATCATCAAACACTAACTTTTATTCACAAATTATCAAATTATTCATAATCAGAATCGTTTTATTAATTGGAGTTATATATACATTTTTTTTAAAAGAATCACATTGAAGTGAATACAGTTAATAGGACGTAATCCTCCCAGACATAATTCCTGAACATAATTCCCCAGACATAATCCTCCCCAGACATAATTCCCCAGACATAATCCTCCAGACATAATTCCCCCAAACATAATCCACCAGACACCATCCACCAGACATAATTCCCCCAGACATAATAATCACTCCAGACATAATTCCCCCAAACATAATCCACCAGACATAATCCACCAGACATAATTCACCAGACAATCCTCCCAGACATAATTCCCCCAGACATAATCCTCCCAGACATAATTCCCCCCAAGTATAATTCACCAGACACTATTCCCCCAGACATAATCCTCCCAGACATAATTCCCCCAGTTGCCATCCTCCCAGACATAATAATTCCCCCAAACATAATCCACCAGACATAATCCACCAGACATAATTCACCAGACAATCCTCCCAGACATAATTCCCCCAGACATAATCCTCCCAGACATAATTCCCCCAGACATAATCCTCCCAGACATAATTCCCCCAAACATAATTCACCAGACATAATTCCCCAGACATAATCCTCCCAGACATAATTCCCCAAGACATAATCCTCCCAGACATAATTCCCCCAACACACACTAATGATTGATGGTGGTAGCCGCTGTACTTAACACACTCAGTCGTGCCTCTTGAGATCAATATTACACAACATGCAAATTAGGAGTGAGTGTGTGTGTGTGTGTGTGTGTGTGTGTGAAGGGTACATGTTTGTATCTGTGTGCGTTTTGAGATTGCATGTGTGTGTGTAATTGTTTAAGTGAAGGAACACACACACACACAGACCCACACACACCAAAAAAACAGAGGGCAAATTATACGATCTATCAGGTAAATTAATAAGGTGTACACACGCAACGTCCGGATAACTCACCGTGTACAACCTGTCGTCACCGTGTACAACCTGTCCTCACCGTGTACCACCTGTCCTCACCGTGTACAAGCTTTCTTCACCGTTTACAACCTGTCCTCACCGTGTACAACCTTCTCCTCACTGTGTGCAACCTGTCCTCACCGTGTACAACCTTCTCCTCACCGTGTACACCCTTCTCCACACCGTGTACAACCTTCTACTCACCGTGTACAACCTTCTACTCACCGTGTACAACCTGTCCTCACCGTGTACAACCTTCTCCTCACCGTGTACAACCTGTCACTCTGTGTACAAGATTTCTTCACCGTGTGCAACCTGTCCTCACCAAGTATTTTAACCTTCTCTCACCGTGTACAACCTGCTCACCGTGTACAACCTTCTCATCACCGTGTGCAACCTGCTCCTCACCGTGTACAACCTTCTCATCACGTATTTTAACCTGTCACTCACCGTGTACAAGCTTTCTTCACCGTGTACAACCTTCTCACCGTGGCACAACCTGCTCACCGTGTGCAACATTCTCCTCACAAGCCACCCACAACCTGTCCTCACCGTGTACAACTGTCCTCACCGTCTTGCAACCTGTCCTCACCGTGTCCCACAACCTGTCCTCACCGTGAGCAACCTGTCCTCACCGTGTACAACCTTCTCCTCACCGTGTACAACCTTCTACTCACCGTGTGCAACCTGTCCTCACCGTGTACAAGCTTTCTTCACCGTGTACAACATGTCCTCACCGTGTACAACCTGTCCTCACCGTGTACAACCTGTCCTCACCGTGTACAACCTTTACACTTTGAAGCATGAACAAAATTGTACTATGTGTGGCAAGAGCATAATTGTTTCATTGCTATGCACGCTAAACTACTCAAGTGTTCAGGGGTGTACACAACAGTTCCCAGGTGTACACAAACAGTTCCCAGGTGTACACAGGTAAAAAAAATAAAGTACATTCATAATTCAAGCCCAGTTTAAGTTGGTTACATACATTAGTGTCCAGGTAATGTTGTACACACACACACACACACACACACACACACACACATGTACACAATTAACCTAACAACTGTTTACCTACACACTTGTACATAACATAGTAATCCTTATATATGTACACTCTTCCTCACTGTACATGTAATTAATTCCTGTACTTAACCAGAACGAGTTATTTTTGTACTTAAGGTCAAGAAATATTGTACTTACTTATTAATGTGTTGGTATACTTGCACACCTGTTAAGTATGTAAGTAGGCAGTAATGACTAACACAACTACTCTCTCTCTCTCTCTCTCTCTCTCTCTCTCTCTCTCTCTCTCTCTCGTATTTAAATACTTCTGCCTATCGACTGCATAAACAAGATAACAGTTATATATGTACCTGTATCTATACCTGGCCTTGTACCTGTATCTGTACCTGGCCTTGTACCTGTATCTGTACCTGGCCTTGTACCTGTATCTGTACCTGGCCTTGTACCTGTATCTGTACCTGGCCTTGTACCTGTATCTGTACCTGGCCTTGTACCTGTATCTGTACCTGGCCTTGTACTGCTGTACCTGGCCTTGTACCTGTACCTGGCCTTGCACTGGCCCTGTACCTGGCCTTGTACCTGGCCTGTACCTGGCCTTGTACCTGTATCTGTACCTGGCCTTGTACCTGTACCTGGCCTTGTACCTGTACCTGGCCTTGTACCTGTACCTGTACCTGGCCTTGTACCTGTACCTGGCCTTGTACCTGTACCTGTACCTGGCCTTGTACCTGTATCTGGCCTTGTACCTGTACCTGTATCTGGCCTTGTACCTGTATTCGTATCATAAGACCATAAGAGTTGTTGCTGAATTACAGGTGTGATATAAATTGGGGTAAAGAAATGACATCTAATACTGTGGTCTCAATGATTCAAGGTGAGAGAGAGAGAGAGAGAGAGATTGTGTATTTTCATCAACTATTTACAATATCATAATTTCGACCCTTTCCTCCCCACTCACGCCCACACTCACTCACTCACGCCCACACACACTCACTCACGCCCACACACACGCCCACACACACACTCACTCACGCCCACACACACACTCAGGTAAATGTCAACTTGTTTGAGATACATTTAATTACCACACCTCACGCACCTGTGGCTAATTAATGTTTTATGTACTACCTATCACTCTACGTCACATGGGGTGGTGGTTGTGGTAGATGGTGGTTGATGTGGTGGTTAGAGGGTGGTTGATGGTGTGGTCGATAGCTGAAGGAATGCTACCAACTCATCACTACTACGACTACTATAACTACTACGACTACTACTATGACAATAACTATTACTATCACCACTACTAGAACAACAACAACAACTAAAACAATAACAACAACTACATCTACCATATGCAGGTCAAGTCAACACCTGATAATGATTCTACCTGTACTTAATACTGACTATAAGTACGCACTTTACACACACTTCTAAATAAACTTCATGACTACTACTACTACTACTACTACTACTAACAACAACAGTAATAAACAAAGACCCATAAACCAGAAAGTGGTTGGTCCAAAATGGTTCTTTAGCTTGACAGAAACAATGTAAAGTGTTGATTATAATTTGTCTAATTCACGTTGACTCGCTCCAGTTGTGTGTAAAGAGAGAGAGAGAGAGAGAGAGAGAGAGAGAGAGAGAGAGAGAGAGAGAGAGATACATATTTTAGTGGCCCCCTTCAGTATCGATTTTCTCTCTCTCTCTCTCTCTCTCTCGCAGGACGCCACGAGTTCTTACTCCTAGCCATCCGCCTCCTTAACCCGTCTATCCGACTCTGTTTCCTTTCATCTCTCCGTCTATCTGTCCGTCCGTCCGTCAAAAGCATCTCAAAATGGCTAAATACCTGACGAAGGCAAGGCAGGAGACTCATCCTCTCCTTCAGTATAAGATATCGATTAAGCTCCACCCTATTCTCAGGCGTCCTTAGCAACCAGTACGATTCCTAGCAGTTGATTGGTTGATGGTTGCTAAGTGAGTCATGACGTCACATTGGTAAATATCCCCTAATCTGGTTATTTATGTGATGAACCATTTATGTGATGAACCATTTATGTGATGATCCATTTATGTGATGAGCCATTTATGTGATGAACCATTTATGTGATGAACCATTTATGTGATGAGCCATTTATGTGATGAACCATTTATGTGATGAGCCATTTATGTGATGAGCCATTTATGTGATGAACCATTTATGTGATGAGCCATTTATGTGATGAACCATTTATGTGATGAGCCATTTATGTGATGAACCATTTATGTGATGAACCATTTATCAGACCAGACATTAATAAGACGAGACATTAATTAGACGATACATATAATCAAACAAGACATCATAACCCATATATTTACCAGAGCCATTTAACAGAGCCATTTACCAGAGCCATTTAACAGAGCCATTTAACAGAGCCATTTAACAGAGCCATTTACCAGAGCCATTTAACAGAGCCATTTAACAGAGCCATTTACCAGAGCCATCCCCGTGTGTGTGTTAACAGAGCCATTTAAGTTTACCCCTCCCCGTGTGTGTTACTACTACAATTTCGGACTGAAGGACTACGGGGAGCCGACCCAGGGGGGGCTGCTGGATATGGTCAAGGTGATGGCCTTCTCTCTCAGCGAGGGCAAGGTGGCTATACACTGTCACGCTGGTCAGTATCTGTCTGTCTGTCTGTCTGTCTTGTTTATCTGTCTGTCTGTCTGTCTGTCTTGTTTATCTGTCTGTCTGTCTGTCTGTCTTTCTAACTCTCTAAATCTATGTATGTCTGTCTGTCTGTCTGTCTGTCTGTCTGTCTGTCTGTCTGTCTGTCTTTCTATGTATCTGCCTGTCTCTGTTTATCTGTGTCCTTTCTAATTTTATCTGTCTGTCTGTCCGTTTATCTGTCTGTCTGTCTGTCTGTCTGTCTCTCTTAACTATATAACTCTGTGTCTCTCTGTTTGTCTAGCTCTCTAATTATATAAATGTCTCTTTGTCTGTTTGTCTAATTATGTCTGTCTGTCTGTCTGTCTATCTGCTCATCTCTCTTATCTGTCTCTTTATCTAGACATCTATTCATCTATCCATATACACGGTATCTATCTATCTATCCATCCATCTACCACTTTATCTCCTCACATATGTAACAACCTACCACCTCACCTCACCTCACCTCACCTCACCTCACCTCACCACACCTCACTCTCCCTCACAGGTCTGGGTAGGACAGGTGTGTTGGTGGCGTGTTACCTGGTGTACGCTCTCAGGGTTCGAGCTAACGACGCCATCCGCTACGTCAGGATAAAACGCCCCAACGCCGTCCAGACCAGCGCCCAGATACAGGTGGTGCAGGAGTTTGAACAGTTTATCCTGCCGCAGCTCTGTGTGTTCAGTAACAGGTGTGTATGTCTGTCTGTCTGTCTGTCTGGTGTGTGTGTGTGTGTGTGTGTGTGTGTGTGTGTGTGTGTGTGTCTGTCTGTCTGTCTGTCTGGTGTGTGTGTGTGTTTAGGTGTAGAAGTGTTTGTTGTCCCTTCTCTCTCTCACGTGTACTCCTCCTCCCTCCCCCACAGAGAGTTCATGAAGGAGAAGAGGAACCCAGAGTTCACCCTGCAGCAGTACCTTCACCGTCAGCGGACCATCCTGCACGGCTACGAGGCTCGCACCCTCAAGAACATCCCCAAGGTGTGTTTTCTGTCCCTACACTAGACACTATCCCTATGACACGCGGCACTGACCCTCCCTTATGACCTGGCACTAATCTCTGACCCTCCCCATGACCTGGCACTGACCTCTGACCTCCCCATCAGCTGGTGTACGTGGTGTGTGAGAGGTTACTGCGGCTGTGTGGTTGTGGTGGCAGCATGGCGCCCCCCCACTTGCTGGCGCCCCTCGAGATATCCTACGCTGTGGGGACCCCATCCTTCACCTCCTTCTTCCTCTCAGCACAGTACGACCACGAGACCCGAGTGTCCTACTCCGCCCCTCAGAGTCTGGGATCACCAGCACTATCAGCCAGCTTCAACAGCGAGCGAGCAGGTAACTCTCTCTCTCTCTCTCTCTCTCTCTCTCTCTCTCTCTCTGTAAAAGGTCACGGGGTCAAACTCTTCCTGCATACATATCGTTAACATCAAACAGACTCGAATATCACGACTGGGGTGGGTCAGGTGGTGGTGGTGCGGGGGAGGAGGGTAACTCGGCCACTCCCCTTATGGTGACGTCCCACCCCCACCCCCCCAACACCTACAGCAGGGGTGTCAAACTCATGGCCCGCGGGCCAAATGTGGCCCTTGGGATGGTCAGGTGTGGCCCGCGGGATGACGGTAAAATTTATCATCCCGTGAAATTATGAAAGAAATAGATATAATCATGTTTATTAGTAAAATGAATTTTACATACTTAAGATCAGACAAACCCAAATGAGGTATTCCTAGCAAGCCAGGTAAGGCAATGTGTGAAGCTGTAAACTTTAATCCTGCAAATATGTGATATAGCACTTGTGTTGGCCCTGAAGAGGGTAACTAAAATAAGAATTGGCCCTCGAAAGGTTGTGAGTTTGACACCACTGACCTACAGTATGTGTGGGGTGTGACCTATGTGTCTGATGACGTCCCGAAGTGTGATTTAATGGTGAATGTTTTCGTCTTTTAGTTATGGTGGTTTATAAGTACTTCTTGTGGTTTTAAAGTACATCTGTGTTGGTTTAGTACATCTTTGTTGGTTTAAATGTACAAATAGTACATACATGCTGTTAGAGAGAGCACGTCAACCAGGCTTTGATAGGTTACAAAGATATCAGAGATTCATCCAATCAGAAACTGGCTGACGAGCGCTCTCTAGCCGCATGCTACTGATTACATTATACAAATATTGGTAAGTTATCAATGAGACCATCACATCAACAACAGAGACAGAGGTTATGTCAACACTGAGAGTTAGTATGATAACACTAACAACGGGAAAATGCTTGCGATAAGATAAGAAAGATAAGAAAATATTCCATCAACTGTACAAATCCCATATATTTATTTAGTCCTCCCTGTAAATAAGAATAAATTTTCTTTGATAAATTTGGAGGGGAAACTAAACTAAGATTACATTCTCTATTACTGGCCGGGTCACTGGTAGGGGAGACTGAGGCATGACTGCGAACGTTATTATGAAACGTGTTCCGTGATAATGGCTTTGAAGTTGATATAATAGTAATAAGAGCATTCTCTAGGCCACTAACACACGCACGTACACACGATCAAGGAGTATCTGTGCACATTAGATTAAGTGATTTCCTAAATGATCAATACACACAAGTAACAAAGTCCCTACCACCGTCAACCATGATACACATTGTTCATAAGACTGATATATTGTCTTCTGAGTGTTCCTACGATAACACTTACTATGACTAAAACAGGATATCTCGTTAGTAGCGATATGTGACATTTTTTCAATATCCTTCGTTTGTTGTGTCAGATTATTTCGCGCGAAATGTGTACAGATACTTTCTTGGTTGTGTGTACAGTACAGTGCACACCAGAACATACACCTGACTAACTACCCTCGGTGTGGTAGTTTCTGACAGGTGGGTGCAGGTGTACCCAGTTCAGTAGACACAGCACTAACAAGTTGTCAATCTCCAGGTGGTGTCTACAGGTTGTCTCGGGTAAACTAACGACCTGTGTTACCAGGTTAACTACCCAAGTGATGCTCTGACCTGACCTAACCTAACCAGCTGTATGTCCCCCAGGTGGTGTCCGTGTACCATCTGAGGACGACTCTGGGTATCCCGGGGGGGAGGAGTTTTCCATGGGGGAGGTGTCCGTCCCCAACTCTGCCCACTACCCCCCCCAGACCAGACCCCAGAATAACTGCATCACCCCAGACGTGCCCTCATGTGACTCTGGTCAGTCTCTCTACTGTCTTAATAATAATAATAACAATAATAATAATAATAATAATAACAATAATAATAATAACAATAACATTATTAATAACAATAATAACAATAACAATAATAACAATAACAATAATAACAATAACAATAACAATGACAATAATAATAAAAATAATAATAATAATAATAATAATAATAATAATAATAATAATAATAATAATAATAATAATAACCAACTGAAAATAAACACACTTACGAAACAGGGTAGAAAATGTTAACAATGGTGTCAGTATAGCAGTGGTAATTTATGTCAGTGTATCAGTGGTGGTAATGGTGTGGGTGTTACAATGGTGTCAGTGTAACAAGAGTGGTGTCAATGTTGTAATGGGACCATTGGTAATGATCTTGACCTCCCCCACACACAGACATGCCCGAGAGGAACATCGACTCACTGCTAAACGATGGCATCAGTGACCAGCAGCTGACCGACAACCTGTGTTACCAAGAGCTGGCCTCCCAGTCTGACCTCCGGCGCCAGGCCCACCACGAGGCCCTCAAGGTGCGTATGACCTCCACCACGTTTGACTTCCACCGTCACCTGGCCCTCAAGGTATCCTACAACCTCCTATGGTGTGTGTGTGTGTGTGAGAGTGAGAGAGAGAGAGAGAGAGAGAGAGAGAGAGAGAGAGAGAGAGAGAGAGAGAGAGAGAGAGACCCAACACTTGTCAGCATAAACACCAGGTTGAGACAGGTGACAAGTGACATATACCTGTAACCCAAGGCACTAACAGGTGTGTGCGTGTCTGTCCCTCAGGTAATGCCGCCGAAGGAGGTGTACGAGGCGCTCCTGGTCGATCACTCTGTGCTAAACGTGGAGCTGAAGAAACAACTAAAGAGCTATAGGATAGACCTTAACGTGAAGCAGTCAGCCTGGGAGAAACTCAAGACAGAAACCAACCTGTATCTGCTGACAGGTAGGTCCCTGCTGACAGTGGGTCCCTGCTGACAGTGGGTCCCCTTTGACCGTGAGTCCCTGCTGACAGTGGGTCCCTACTGACAGTGGGTCCCTGCTGACAGTGGGTCCCTGCTGACAGTGGGTCCCTGCTGACAGTGGGTCCCTGCTGACAGTGGGTCCTTACTGACAGTGGGTCCCTGCTGAGAGTGGGTCCCTGCTGACAGGTGTAGTAGGCCTGTTGTCTACCCCTTGTTCAATCAATGGTCAATATTCACCCCCTTTGCTCAGTGTGTTCAGTCAATATATCCTCTTTGCTCAGTCAGTGTTCACGTGTTCCAGGTCTGTTGTTCACGTGGCTGGAACACCTACGGACGCCTGTACTGGGGGTCGATGCTCTCTCCTACATCGTGTTGGCCTCCAGTAAACCTGAAGTCTGTCTCCGGAAGCTTGATAGGGTAACGAACGCTTGTCCTCACTATGTTACTACGACACACACCCCCATCTAACCTAACCAAGCTTAACCTAACCAAGCTCAGCCTAACCCCTTTACTATACGGGGATGTCACTTTTAATGTTTTATTTAGCTAAAGTCAGACGATTTTATTCAACACAAAAGGGATCCCACACACGGTGTTTGTTTGTTTACGAGAGGAACAACAGGTGCGGTACATCCTGGTTCGCACTGGTACACACACACACACACACACACACACACACACACACACAGGTACACACTGATATACCCTTTTACACACTGATTCACCGCTGTACACCCTAATAAACTCTGGTTCACACTGATATACACTCACTGGTACACCCTGGTTTACACTAGTACCCTCTGGTTCACACTAGTACACCCTGGTTCACCCACAGGAGGTCCGGTACACCCTCGAGTATCTGGTTCGGTTCGTGTCTCGCCTTCAGCCGTTCACCCGCACCCAGCAGGAAGCAGTCATCCTTCGGCTCATTGCATCCATCACCCAGCAGGCTGTACCCGTCCGTGGCACCCTCCTACCAGCAGGTAAGCTCACCCAAGTAAACCCACCCAGGTAAACAGTCATCACCACCAGCAGGTAAACCCACCCAGGTAAAGTCATCAACAGGTAAACTGACCCAGGTAAACAGTCATCATCACCAGGTAAACCCAAGCAGGTAAACAGTCATCATCACCAGGTAAACCCACCCAGGTAAAGTCATCAACAGGTAAACTGACCCAGGTAAACAGTCATCATCACCAGGTAAACCCACGCAGGTAAACAGTCATCATCACCAGGTAAACCCACGCAGGTAAACAGTCATCATCACCAGCAGGTAAACTGACCCAGGTAAACAGTCATCATCACCAGCAGGTAAACTGACCCAGGTAAACAGTCATCATCACCAGCAGGTAAACTGACCCAGGTAAACAGTCATCATCACCAGGTAAACCCACCCCTATATAACCCCCTGTATAAGCTATACAGGTATACTGTATACATATATTCTGCGTATATTGCATCGTATATGTACTTATATGTATGTATATATGTGCCTATGTGAGTGTATAGGTAAAAGTGTAAGTAACAGAAACAAGACAATAAAGACGATAATAATAAGAAAATCTACAATAATTATGTCTAAACTATTTAATTTATTTCTTCTATAACTAAGTAATTAAATTTTCTCTCCTATATTTATGACATATTTATCCTCATATAACTAATTACAAACAATATTATTAATCACTATATTAATTACACTTATTAATTCTCCATTTCCTCTTTAATTATATCAGTAAATCATAAAATTATATTTAGGTGATAATTAATTCTCTAATTAATCACAAATTATATTATCCATTAGTCACTGGTAACAACTAATTATAATTTACTGTTCTAATTTTCCTTCTCAATCATTAAGTTTTAGTTTCATATAATTACACCGTCAGATGGAAACCTGACCTGTGACCTGACACCAACGTGGGTCAGGTCAAATATAATAACCTTTACCTCTTATAACCTGGTGTCCATGGAGGTCAGAGGTTTATGTGATCAGTACAGTCATGACCTTTCACCCATGATAACTAAAAGGTCATCATCTGACATCCATGAGGTGAGGTCACCATATTAGGGCAAGTCCTGACCTTAGTTGGCTTTCAAAATCTGATACCCACAAGGTCAGGTCATCAAATAAGGTTAATCCATAATGCCTGGCACTCCTGATATGATACCCAGGTCAGGTCAGGTCATCCAATCACCATGACCCTGACTCACCTGATATGATACCCATGAAGTCACAGGAGGTCAGGTCACCCCAACACCAAAAGGTCATGACCCCAGGTATCGTTGTTTACCTCCACAGTGATCGTGTACCCAGGGCGAGCGACTACGGCTAAAGACAAGAATAAAAAATCGCATGCCAAGAGTGAGGACGATTTCAACAACTCATTCAGACTATTCCCCATACCGCTATCTCCATCACTCGCTTCTCGCTTACTCTTATATTAATCATCTTTTAAATACTTGAAGAAAACACCTCAACCACAAGTTAAAAAGTGTGTGTGTAAGTGTGTGTGTAAGTGTGTGTGTAAGTGTGTGTGTGTAAGTGTGTGTGTGTGTCCTGGACTTAGAGTGGACAAACTCTCTAAGGCTGCTGGTAGTAAGTGAATCAGAGGTAGATTGAGGAGGTCTTCTTCCTCTTGGCCTTCTTTGCTGTTATCATCTTGGTTCATCTCACCATTTCCTTTATCATCATTTATTCTTTTGCTTCTTCTTAGTATTCCTTCTCTTCTGTTATTCATATTAAACTCTAATGCATATTTCCCTTAAGACAGAAGCAGTGAACTAGTGTATGGGACTTTCTACCTTAGCTTCTGGTGTGAGAGATCTCTAAGCTTAAGCCAATCAAATCGCTTGAAATCGATACACCTCCGACGCTTCATCCACTAACATTAACTGATACAACCCTAGGCTCCACCCATTGAGTCAGCAGCCAATCAAATCCCTTGAAATCGATACACCTCCGGCGCTTCATCCACTCAGATTAACTGATACATCCCCAGGCTCCACCCATTGAGTCAGCAGCCAATCAAATTCCTTGAAATCGACACACTTCTGCGGTCCAACCACTCATGACTGGTTCAGACTCAGGTTATAAACATTATTTTTTTCTTTAATAAGTTTCATGCACGAGTACACTGGCCATCTGTCTGTCTGAGTGTCGGTATAAAGATTCCTCATTCCTTTTGGTGACTTATTTATCAAGGGGGTGGAGCCATGTCGGAGGGGGTGGAGCCATGTCGAAGGGGGTGGAGCCATGTCGGATGGGGCGGAGCCATGTCGGATGGGGCGGAGTCATGTCGGATGGGGCGGAGCAAAGGGATCTCTTCACCGGAGGAGTGCAGGATCATGTAGACCCTTTAGTCCTAATATGCCCTAACCTAACCTAACCTTACCAAACTAGAAGGATTAAGGCTCATTAGGCTTAGGGACCATAAAAATGGGACTCATTAGGACTGGGACCTCATTTAATACTTGGATAGATTAGGTTTGGGGTCTATTAGGACATGGACCTGTTAAGACTGGGGCCCGTTCATCCAGTTACTCAGCCGTTAGTGAATCTTTTAACCATTATTAAACGCCATAACACCTGTTGGACCAGCGACGTCATGCAGATAATTTTTTAAGGCCTTTTTTACAGTGCATTTTAAAGCAGTTTATTAGTACAGACACGCCATGTTTGTTCGACAAGACAAACTATGTAGCAAAAGCATCACGAACACGACCATTTCCGCCCCTCCTCCCCAACTTGAATTTCAGGCTGTAGGAACCTAAACTAATCAAATCTATTCAGACACAAACCTAACCAAATCTATCCTAACCACTAACCAAACTTAACCTAATCAAACCCATGCTAAGAGACCCTATAGCTGGTTGAATTAGGTTAGGTTGGCATAGTCTGATTTTTTTTAAGTTAATAAGCAAAAACAAGGGTCGTAAGTGGTCCTGTTCGTGGTATAATTCTAACATGTTTTAATCTGCCTCTATTCTAGTCTAATGTTAAGCTTGTTGCACCGTCTTCCAATTGCTTATTATATTTAGATCTATTTACATTTATCTCTTAATAATATATCTGTCTTATTGTTCGAGTAACTGCCTTTTTTTTTCATTATTATTTCAAGTGTTTCAAAAAGACTAATATTCTAAGATGTCGTAATTTTTAATAAGTTCTAAGTAACTTTTAAGTATTATAAGTAAATTAAAAGTATTCTAAGTCAGATTTAACTATTTCTATGTACTGTATATTTTAAGTATTTCTACGCAACTTTTAATAATTTCTAAGTACATTCTAATTTTTTCTAGGTAACGTTTAAGGGTTTTAAATAACTTTAAGTGTTTCTAAGTGTGTTGTAAGTGTTTCTAAGTAAGTTTTAAGTGTTTCTAAGTAAATTTTAGGTATATAGGTAATTTTAGGTGTTTCTAAGTGTTTCGAAGTAAGTATAATCAAGTAGTGCAGGAAGGTGACTAACGGCCTTGGTGGTGTCCTCAGGGAAGGGATACAACAAGCTGCGGGAAGGCACCCTCAGGAAGGTGGTGGAGTTCATGAACAAACTCTTCGAGCTGGTCTACATGGAATCCCGCTCAGGCAGTGCTGTCTCCGCCGCCTCCTCCACCAGCACAGAGTACACCAACCGAGTCACTCCGCCAGGCCAGGTCGTCACGCCGCCGCCCGGAGAAGGTGCCGTCGATGGCATGGGAGGAGAGAACTCTTAAAGACAGCCACTGACAAGCCTCTTTATATGGTCTATGTCTCTTTTATTGTCGTCTCGAGAAGGACCCGTGATTGGTTCCAGTCTCACGTCTCTTAACCAGGATTCGGTGTTGTGATTGGTTGTGTCCAGTCCTGAAGCAGGCTGGTGATTGGCTCCACGAAAGTTTTGGCCAGGAAGTGTTTCCCCGAGGGAGTGACATGAAGGGTGATGGTTCTTTGCTTCACCCCCCATTGGCTCAGAGCTCCTTGGTTCCTGGCCAATCGTTGGTCTCGGCTGACAGGTATGAGAAACAGGTCTAAGCATCACGCATCGTTCAGTGTATCACAGCAGCAGAGTCCGCTAGTGCAGTACTTCGTCTTCGATGTCCCCACAAACGTCTTCAGCGATCATGTACAGCACCACTTTGGTCGTCCGTGTACAGTGTCCTTCCCTCCGTCCCACAGCAGCAGCCTCCCACCCCAAGTGTCCTAATGTCCTCATCTGAGTGTCCACTGTACAGTTCCGTCCAGTAATCCCTGTACAGACTACCCCACACCACACCACAATTAAGAAGCTGCCATATTCCTCTCCTTACGCCCATGACTCACCCACACGACTCACAACACAACAACACAGTCGCCTTCTGCAGCTTCTGACAACCTCGGCTTATGTTATATTATCGTTTATGTCAGACAACAGTTCAAGTACAGGTAAAGGCTACACAGTACATGTATCTAGCCCGACCTTGTAACTATTACAAAGCAAAGTAACTTTCACTACAACTTGTGTTAAGTAGAGATGACAACAGTACAACTTGTGTTAAGTAGAGCTGACAACACTACAACTTGTGTTAAGTAGAGCTGACAACACTACAGCTTGTGTTAAGTAGAGCTGACAACACTACAACTTGTGTTAAGTAGAGCTGACAACACTACAACTTGTGTTAAGTAGAGCTGACAACACTACAACTTGTGTTAAGTAGAGCTGACAACACTACAACTTGTGTTAAGTAGAGTTAACTACAACTTATGCTAACTCTTTACTCCATTATCACAAGCACATACACCCAGGGAGTCTAAATCATTATAATAGCATGTTTAATAATAGTAATAGTAGATAATAGTAATAGTAATCTATATTTTTCTGCATGGGATCTGCCTCAGCTGCAGCATAGAACAGTAGTAATGCAAATCTCTATTGTATATATTTTGTAACTTTCTTATATACGTATCAACAGGTCTCAGACGAAAGCAATTTAAGTGTATGCTTCAACATATTAGGTAGTCCTCGCTTAACGTCGCTTCACTTAACGTCGCAAAAAGCCCGACTTTAAGCGGAGAACAGACTACCTCGCTTAACTTAACGCCGCAGGAAGCCGCTTATTCGACGTTAAGCGGGGACTACCCTACCTGTCTGTGTTATTAACTTTCTGTGATGATATAACCAGTGGTGGGGATAAATAAGTACCTTGAAAGTAGAAGTAGAGAATTAATGTAAAAAAAAAAATCCTCCATAGACATCTCCTTAGAGTTTATAAGTACTGAAGTGAATCAATAAGTATTATAAGTAAACTAAAAAATAAATCCTGGTTGTGAGGGGACAAGTTAAGTGTTTGTAAGTAAGTCACGAGTAAAATAAGTACACGTAAAGTAAGGAAGTCAAGTTTGTAAGTACTGAAGTGAGTGGGTCGGGTTTGTGGTGTGTTCTGACCTTAAGATGATAAATTAATGTAACTTGTATTCGGTTTATTTATTAATGAGAGGGAAGGAGAGGGAAGGACAAACATGAGAGGGAAGAAGAGATATGAGAGGGAAGGATAGACATGAGAGGGAAGGATAGACATGAGAGGGAAGAAGACTTATGAGAGGGAACAAACACTTTACTACTTTTACGGATACATATAAAACCCTACTTAAAATATACTTATTAATTCAACTTATTTCGTCACCACTCAAAATATCTTGCTTACATCTAGGACAAGTTTACTTACAAATAGTAGTCACTTTACAACCTACTTATAAACGTGGTATTTACAGTGTACTTACAAATCCTACTTATATTATACGGTACTTATATTTATTTAACATAGGTACTACTTACAAGGTAGAGACAAACTTTACCTACTTTACATGATACTTACAAGGTACTTACAAAATTGACTTACTTTATGCAATACAAACTTATTTTATATACACATTACTTACAAACTTTACTTAAATTACATGGTACTTCCAAACATTATTTATTTTACATGATACTTAAAGGAACTTACAAACTATACTTACTTTACTTATACACATTACTTACAAAGCACCAACAAACTTTATTTTTATACGATATTTAAAGAGTTCTTACTAACTTCACGCGCTACTTACAAACTTTACTCTTACACCATATATAAAAAGTACTTACAAACTTTAATTACTTTACACATTACTTACAAGGCCACTTATCTCCCCCCCCCACTACATCACCCGCCAATAGTGTCTCGTCTTTTTTATAGTGTTCTGTGCCGTAGTGATGTTGTGAGTGTCTGACTATACTAGAATCTTAAATTATAAGTAAACTACAAGATTTTCGGTTCCGGATTATATAGTGGTGAGTGAGTGCGAGAGTCATATTAATTTCGGATTATGTAGTGGTGATGTATATGTGTGTGTGTGTGTGTGTGTGTGAGTGGATTATTTCCTGGTTACATACTGGTGATGTTCATAAATGGGATATATAAGAGAATTTATTCCACCCGGGTTACATAATAGTGATGAGACCAATTTATTCCGTCCGGGTTACATAATGGTGACTAATACACCATTATGCAGGTAACATAGTATTAAGATATGGTGTATACTGTATTGTCCAGATTGTATATTGTATTACTGTTGACTACATCTGTATTCATATGTGACTGATTGTTGTATACGGCTTAGGAATGTATGGCTCATTGGTGTATATCTCATGGTTGTATGGTATAGGATTGTATAGTTGTATGAGTGTATAGTGTATGATTGTATAGTACAGGTATATTAGTGTATTGTGTATGAGTGCAAGGTGTAAAGCGTAGTATGTATGTATGTATATATAGTGTACGATTGTAAAGCTGTCTGATGTATGATTGTATAACAGTATTATGTATCAATGTATAGTTATTATGATGTATGGTTGTATATATCTGTATGACTGTTGTATGAACGTGTATATCTCTCAGTCCAAGTCAATGATTTCCAAAGAATCGTACGATATATTTTCCCCTCATCACATCGACGCCATCTTGTTTACACCATACGTCAGGCAGCGAGGAGGAAAACATATCGTACGGGGGATACTTAAGTAACACCAAGGTATACACATGTTGTATTAATTGTTTACTTAATGTATTGGATAAGAAAATACAATATGGAGAAGCTAATATTAATGTATTATTATAAACCTCATTATATATATGTACACTTGCCATACGTACGGGAGTTGTATACACTGCCAGGCGTACAACTATACATGCTGCCAGACGTAGGATCATTATATATACACTGGCCGGGCACTACTTTAAAAGGTCAGTCTTGGAAAATAGCAACAAATGATTTCAGACCTTTAATACCTGGATCATTAAAATATCCCAGGAGGAGGAGGAGGGGGGAGAGGGGAGGAGGAAGAGGGAGAGGGGAAGGAAGAAGGAGAGGTGAAGGAGGAAGAGGAGGAGGAAGTGGGGTAGGAATAAGAAGAGAAGGAGGAGGAGGCGGAAGAAGGAGGAAGAGAAGAAAATGACTACCATGTCACTATTGAATGAACCCAAGCAACACTCCAGCAACACAAGCAACACCCACCATGTAACTCAAGTAACACCCCAGGAACACAAGCAACACCCAACATGTAACACAAGCAACACCCACCATGTAACACAAGTAACACCCCAGCAACACAAGCAACACCCAACATGTAACACAAGCAACACCCACCATGTAACACAAACAACACCCACCATGTAACACAAGCAACACCCTAACATGTAATACGAGCAACACAAGTCTGGCAGGGGTCTACAGCGGCAGTATCGTCAAGAGCTCTGGACGCCGTCAATTGACATGCAGAACTGAAATTCATTGAGAGTCGCAGCGGATCAACTCGAGGGGGAGCCAGGCTGAAAGGACCTCTTCCTCGAGGCTGTGTTGGGACCCCTTTTGCTTGGCCTGAGGAGTATTCAGCTAAGGGGGAGGGTGAGAGGGCCGGAGAAGGAGGAGTGGGGGGCGGGTCCGAGAAGTAGTATTCAGCAGAGGGGTAGGAGTTGCTCCAGCAAATTGAATCACGTAGAATCGGAAGCCAAAATCAATGCAGAGGTTCTCATTCTGCAGTTGACGTCTACTGGAGGGGGGGGAAACAAACACTTGGGTGTAGTGGAGTCCAGCCCCCCTCTTAGTGTTGGGTGTAGGGGGGGGGGAGATGGCCCCTCTTAGCTGGGTGTACGAGGAGAGACCGCCCCTCTTAGCGTAGGGTTAGATGGTCGATCCCCTTACTGCCGGGTGTAGCGGGGGAGATAGCCACCCTTAGTGCTGGGTGGATGAGGAACACCCCTTTAAAGAGAGTTTATGGAGAAAGGGTTTGAGAGGACAGCCCCTTAGCGCACAGGGTGAGGGGGGAGGAAGCTTCCCTCAGTGTACAGTCGATAATGCGGGTGTATTAAACTCGTCTGGTAACTTACACCTTAAATTAACAAAAATATTCACTAATATATGGGGTAAACCTCCACTAACCTGAGAGCTGATATGGTAAGGCAGGTAGGGTGTGGCAGGTGTGGTGAGACAGGTGTGGAGCTGCAGGTGTGTGGGAGAGAAGTCATTACTCAGGTGTACAGGCCAGGGGGTCAAGTCTCACAGGTGAAGGCAAAGGTAGGGGGACGTAATTAACCCCGTTCAGTTTGTACCCTGGAGACAGAGAGATATTTGATATATTAAACGAGTGTGTGTGTGCGTGTGTGTGCGTGTGCGTGTAATTGGCGGCTTACAGTAAAAAAACAAAACATGGCAGTCATAGGTTTAAAATACACAATAAACAGAGTCACTGAAGAGGTCATTTAACAAAAGCTTCCAGTATAACAAGAGAGACCCTATAAGTTCAACATATAAATATGATAAATTTCACCGTGTTTGGGATGGTGCTATTGTGGTGTTGGCGAGGACAGTACAACAACTCCCACACTGATAGCTGGTGATCAGAGGTGAGCTGAGAGGGCCCAGTGTGCTGAGAGGGACCAGTGTGCTGAGTGTCCTCTTGTGAACTGTTCAATATTGTTTACATTCATTTCCTCAGATTTAGATTATCAGGGTGGGGTGGGAGGAGAGGGAGGAGGAGAGGGGAGTGGGAGAGAAGGGTGGGGAGTGGGAGGAGAGGGAGTGGGAGAGAAGGGTGGGGAGGGAAGAGAGGGAGGAGAGGGACGCAGTGGTCAAGACTGAGAGAGAGAGAGAGAGTGTGTGTGTCTGTGTGTCGTGTCTGTCTGTCTGTGTGTGTGTGTGTTTGTCAATATAAAGATGAAAGAAATATAACCCCTTTCTCCCCACCCCATAAAAAACCACACAACATTTGTATATTCCACATGAAAATAGTGAATAACATTAAAACCCATTTCATCCAAACAAAAGGTTTTTCCTCTGACGTAGATAAAAACCACACACACAATAGTTATCAATATTAGTCCAGTGTTTTTTTTTGTGTTTTTTTTTATTGCGACACACATTTTGGCTGGCATTATCTCTCTCTCTCTCTCTCTCTCTCTCTCTCTCTGTATCTCTCTCTCTCTCTCTCTCTTCATTTTCTCTCAACATCTTCAGAGTAAATATTAACACACATTCTCACATACATACATACATATACATTACATACATACATACATACATACATACTTATATACGCACATATACCCATACCTTCAAACATGACTTGCACACACACGCACACACATACACACATACATACTTATAATTATACACAAATAGGCGCTGGCTATACACACACACACACACACACACACACACACACCCTACAAAACCCAACGTAATAAAACACACATACACAAAACAACTCAAGTGGAACACACATATTTTCCTTTCAAACAATTTCAGTTCTTTTTCAGTTTTTGAGAACAATGGAACAATGATGAACAATGTTTGTTCTGTCAGGCTTCCTTCCCTCACGCACAACATAAAGAAAACTACAGCATTTTCTAGTTTTTTAGGGGGTGTGTGTGTTTTTATGTTTGCTTTTGTCACCTGTTTGGATTTATTCAATAACGACTATGAAACACCACAATAGAAAACACTTTTTATTTGAAGCGTCCAAGAGCTTTGTTGTGCTATTGTTCAGGTGATAGTGCCAGGTAATAGTGCCAGGTGATAATGCCAGGTAAGAGTGTCAGGTGATGGTGTCAGGTGATAGTGCCAGGTGATGGTGCTTGTGTGATAGTGCCAGGTGATAATGCCAGGTAAGAGTGTCAGGTAGTGTCGGTATTTAGTGATAGTGCCAGGTGATGGTGCAGGTGATAATGCCAGGTGAGTGTCGAGTTGATGGTGTCAGGTGATAGTGCCAGGGTGATGGTGCCAGGTGAGTGGTGCCGGGTGATAATGCCAGGGAGTGTCAGGTGATGGTGTCAGGTGATAGTGCCAGGTGATGGTGCCGGTAAGGTGTCAGGTGATGGTGTCAGGTGATAGTGCCAGGTGATGGTGCCAGGTGATAGTGCCAGGTGATAATGCCAGGTAAGGTGTCAGGTGATGGTGTCAGGTGATGGTGCGGGTGATGGTGCCGGGTGATGGTGCCAGGTGATGTGCCAGGTGTAGGTGTCGGTGGTGGTGTCAGGTGATGAGTGCAGGTGATAGTGCCAGGTGAGAGTGCCAGGTGATGGTGTCAGGTGATAGTGCCGGGTTGATAGTGCCAGGTGATAGTGCCGTGTGGTGCCAGGTGATAATGCCGGGTGATAGTGCAGGTGGTAATGCCAGGTGGTGTCAGACGTGGTGCCAGGTGAGTGTGTCAGGTGATAGTGCCAGGAGTGGGGTGCCAGGTGATAGTGCCAGGTGAGTGTGTGTCAGGTGATAGTGTCAGGTGATAGTGCCAGGTGAGTGTGTCGGGTGGTGTCAGGTGATAGTGCCAGGTATGGTGCCAGGTGATAGTGCCAGTTAGTGCCAGGTGGAGTGTGTCAGGTGATAGTGTCAGGTGATAGTGCAGGTGAGTGTGCCAGGTGATGGTGTCAGGTGATAGTGCCAGGTAGAGTGCCAGGTGATAGTGCCAGGTGAGTGCCAGGTGGTGTCAGGTACAGTGTGCCAGGTGATAGTGCCAGGTGTGTGCCAGGTGATAGTGGTGCCAGGTGAGTGTGTCAGGTGATAGTGTCAGGTGATAGTGCCAGGTGAGTGCCAGGTTATAATGCCGGTGATGTGCCAGGTGATAGTGCCAGGTGAGTGTCAGACGTGAGTGCCAGGTGGAGTGTCAGGTGAGTTGGTGATGGGTGATGTGCCAGGTGAGTGCCAGGTGAGTGCCAGGTGAGTGTGTCAGGTGGTGAGTGTCAGGTGATAGTGCCAGGTGATAGTGCCAGGTGATGGTGCCAGGTGAGTGCCAGGTGAGTGTGTCAGGTGATAGTGTCAGGTGATGGTGTGAGTGATAGTGCCAGGTGATAGTGCCAGGTGAGTGCCAGGTGAGTGTGTGTCAGGTGATAGTGTCAGGTGGTGCCGGGTGATGGTGTGTGGTGTCAGAGTGAGTGCCAGGTGGTGTGCCAGGTAATAGTGCCAGGTGATAGTGCCAGGTGAGTGCCAGGTGATAGTGCGGGTGATGGTGCAGGTGATAGTGCCAGGTGGTGTCAGGTGAGTGCCAGGTGAGTGTGCAGTTGATGAGTGCCGGTGATAGTGCCAGGTGATTGTGTTGAGTGATAGTGCCAGGTGATAGTGCCAGGTGGAGTGCCAGGTGGTGGTTGCCAGGTGATAGTGCAGGTGTTAATGTGTCGGGTGATTGTGCCAGTTGATAGTGCCAGGTGAGTGCCAGGTTGTGGTGGTGTGGGTGGGGTGATGGTGCCAGGTGAAGTGCCAGATGATAGTGCTGAGTAGTGCCAGGTGATGTGTCAGGTGATAGTGTCAGGTGATAGTGCCAGGGTGATGGTGCCAGGTGTGAGGCCAGGTGATGTGCCAGGTGGTGGTGCCGGGTGATAGTGCCAGGTGATAGTGCCGGGTGGTGCCTGGTGATGAGTGCCAGGTGAGTGCCAGGTGATGAGTGCCGGTGATGAGTGCCAGGTGATGGTGCGGTGAGTGCCAGGTGATGTGTCAGGTGATAGTGCCAGGTGATAGTGCCAGGTGAGTGCCAGGTGGGTGTGTGGGGTGATGGTGCCAGGTGATGGTGCCAGGTGGGTGTTGGGGTGATA